TCCAGACAGATGGTCTGCCTTTCTCTACAGTGGGAAAAAAATACTTGTTTGACTCGATAATGCTGACATGCAAAATTACTATTCTGTTCATGAGTTCATCATCATGGCCTAATAGTTTACAGAGAGGTTCAACATATTTTGTTCAAGCAATTTATTGATTTAATTGGCCTAGGCCTATTTCAGTTCAGTTCAGTAGTCAGGAGAATTATCTTACCTTACACCTTATACCACTACTGACACACTTTGTCTTGTTTGTGTCTGCTGATTTTCCAGATTAATTTTGTTGCCACTCTAGAGTAGTACTTTTATGGCATTACTACCAGTAGACCTTTGGTGCACTGATCATCAGGTGTCATTGCTCTCCCATCCTCTTGCATCATCTCTCTCTCATCTTCTCAGAAAATAGTTTTTCTTCTGACTGACTCTTATTCTGTCGTAGGACCAAATGGCAGTTAAACATTTGTTCTCTGCCCCCCAACCCCTTATTTTAAGAGAAAACCAAGGTGTACAGTATATTACCCAAACTGTCCATTGTAAACATAGATCACAGTTGAGAGACCCACACTTTGACCTACCGTACATGCCATAGTTTTTAACCCAAGTTTTCCTGTACGATGACGGATTTCTTCTGTTATAACCCCATGTTGGTGTAGGGGAGCAGGGGACAGCAGAAAACTAGATGAAGAATATGATGAGTCAATTAGTTCAGTATTTCAATCCTTTATTGATATAGAAGCTGGATTGTAACATCACCGACAGCCCTGGTCAAAGTAACTAAGCAACCAGCCCTGAGTAGAAATAAAATCAAAATACTAAATAAAATACCCAAAAATAAAAGACAATCCTAAACCTGAGTCTCTATCAACACAGAAACAGGAGAAAAGGGAAAGTAACATAATTGGCAGCTCTCCCCTAAATGGCGTCCTGGCAATTAGTTAAAGGTAGTTAAGATTAATTAATTGATTAACAGTCTAACTGCAAAATCACTACAGTTTCCATCATCAACCTCGCAACAACATATCACTCCGTGCATCTTAATGAAAGAGCACCGCTCCAGCTCCTACATCGCTTGCGTCCACCTCCACATTAAAGACCCGGGGAAAATCGAAAGCAGTAAGCAAGATAACTCGACCCAAGAGTTTTGGCACATTCAAAGGCATGCTGGCAATCAGTTCTCTAGACAAATAGCTTTTTTGGAAGCCAAACATTTATGTATTGCACTGTATTAAACAGCAAAATGTAAACACGCCAACACACCGTCCTCGGCTCATATTTAACTCTCTCTGTCTCTTACGGGGTACGGCTTAAACATTGGTTACGCATCACCTCCATCAATCTATATAGTGTATTCCGTGTGCACCGGACAGTGAACCCCATGCCTTGACCGTTCAGCTCGAATGCACGAAGCCCTGATCCATTGTCATTGAAAAGATAACAATGTAGCCGAGGGTCTAAAGTTAGAGGGTATAAGTACAGGGCAGTTGAAATAAGCCAATAGTGGTCTACATTTAAGGGTCTACCGGGACCCTTAAATGTACCCGCACATGTGTGCAGTTATGCTCACATCATAGGTATTTTTCCACAGGATGGATGGGGGACAATTATTTTGTCTCTCAGCACACTCAACGGCCGCACCTTTTAACACCAGGGACAGCACCTCAGCAGGAAAGAATATTATGTTTTGTCTCCCGAAATCCTCTAAAAGATAATTTATTTGAAAACTGAATAATAACACCAGTAGGTACTGTGGCGAGTATCATAATTGACGGAAATGATGCCCCAAAACCATAAAAACACGGTGTAATAAACCAGGATTAGTCCTCAAGGCTGAGGTAAAGGTCAAGACAAAGTACAAGTAGTGGTGAAGGTTGACAGCAGGATTATGGGCTGAGGAATGGATGAAATCATTCAAATGGGTGGGTGTGTTTGAGTGTGTCCTCCGGAAGTGGAAGGGGGGGCTCTCTGTGGTGGCAGGCAGAGCTTTGATGTGGCCATGACTGGCAACACTCTGTGACTATTGAGCCAAGCAGACACAGTCACTCCACGGCCTCAGATCTCTACAAAGAGCTATCTTTACATCTCTCTCTCTCTCTCTCTCTCTCTCTCTCTCTCTGAATATATATACACGCCTTAAACACAGACACACACACAGATATGCCCTGACATAAATCCACTCTATCCACCTCCTCTCCTCCTAAACTGGCGTCCTTCCAGTTGGTCAGGATCGGAACATTGTGCAGATGGGCACAAAATCACCAATCTGACGGACGCCTCGAGTCTTTTCATGGTCGGGCTCTGCAGTGTAGTCATGTTCATTCACCTGTCAAACTTCATAGTCATCTCATCACTCTCCCTCTCCCTACAGCCGTCTCTCCCTATTCTCTCCATCTCGCTCCATTCTCCTCTCCTCGTGCCTGCCTTTCCTGCGTCACTCTCAGTGATCCCCTCTCGATCTGACGGTGGGTTTCTTCACTTCCAGAAATTCCCCCTAACCGTCTCTGCCGATGATAGCTGCCGATGAAGTGAATGAAAGGCGTGTCTGATATTTGAGAGGATTTCTGATATGATCTACCTCTCTGTTGGTTTGTCCAGTTGCTGCATGCTTTTCAGCAGTATCGGTCTTTTTTGGTAGTCATCTTTTTGTTGTATTTTTGTTTGCCATTTTTGGCAGAAATATGCAAAGTGAGCCACAATTTGAACTCTGGTTCTGCTCCGCCTAATACAATTTTAATCTCTTCTTTATCACACTAGGTTTGGAAGCCCTTTGAGTCCATCAGGAAACTTTGGGAGACACACATTTATTTTCGTTCCTCACTTAGTTCCATTCAATTGAATCTTCTTTACTTGTATTGCCATTACAGTATTCTTTCTAAAATGTAATGAAAATGGAAATAGCTGCTCCATAAAAAGAAACATAATATATGAAAATAAATCAAATTTTTTCTTGCGTATCTGTTTTTGCTGGACTTGTAGACTGTAGACTGTATCTGTTTAGTGATGGCCCTTGTATCTACGTAATCATCCACAGAAATCTGACAGCAATTCGTTGGGCCCGGCAGGCATATTGTCTTTTGGACAGTTTTGTTTGCAGGCTCAGTAAGATTTCATAGCTAGCTAGAAGAGCGTTGGTATAACATGAAACTGATACAACCTAAGGAATATATTGGTATCAACCATGTAAAGCTAGCTTGTAGGGAAGAGGACAAAATAACGCTCTAAATTTGGAGTAGTTTTGTTGGCGAGGGAAAAATCTTGACCTCTGACCTCATAATTTGTGAATGCAAATTTGTTATATGGATATGGCTTTACAGACATGCAGTTTTCAAAATCCAAGCAGTTTTTAATGATGTATTTGAATATTTCCCCATACTGGGGTCCCTAAACAGTCATTGGAATTGCATATATTGTATATGAGTGAAAAGCTGAGGCTCTTGTGGATCCAATGAGCCCAATTGTATTGATGTGTGATGATGTTAGTAGCCATTTAATTGTATTGAGACCATTGTTTGAAACTTGACCTACCTGTATGAAATGACCTCTAGGATAATCACAGCCTCATGAAACTAAACAACCACAAACTAGGGAACTGTGTATAAAAAAGAACATATACACTATATCTGTATTCTCAGATGTCAGAATGATGTCACTCATCTGTCTCATCTGGTTTGTTCATGTTTCCATCTCATCCAATAACAACCTTCCAAATGACCTGTACTTGTACCTGTACAAACTGCTGATAGCTGATAACCACCGGTGATGTTTGGTTGGAGAACGTGAAATTTACCTTTGGACATCCGAATGTATTGAACAGAATTATGGTGATGAAGTTTGCTTATTGTAGCATCATTGTACTGATTTTATTTTTAATTTATTAATTGTCTGACTGGCATCCGTAATAACGCCACAACATGATTTTTTTTTTCATATTTCACCTTACATCATCAATGGACAGTTGATTTTTCCAACGTTAAAATGTTTTCCTGTAACCACCTTTAAATTCACTGTTACGCTACATACTGGTACACTTAAGCACATACTATGCAGACTAAGCTTAGGCCACAAGTAATCCTCCGCTTTTGGTGTTTACTGGCTTGTATATTAAAAAAAGAATTTGTAGAGTAAAAAAGCCATTTAATTAACAAAAAATAGCTTTTTATTACAATTCCAATGCTGAAGGACCTCTCGAGGTTGCAGTTTCTCACACTTTCTCAGAACAACTTTTATAGTTTTTATACTATAGTTGACTGTGTGCTGAATCAGAACCACCAGTACACACACTGGTGAGTACATTGCCCCTACTCAGCCGCTGTTACCATAGACTGTATATAAGAAGTGGACCTAGTCATCGTGACATCACCCATTGGTTTGTGGACTACCATTGTGAAGCCTCGATTTCGGCGATTTGGCCATTGCCATCTTGGAAAACGGCTTTCGCCATCATGTTTTTGCTACCAATGAATGAAGTTTCCATGTTTGGACTGCGGAGGAGTGACGTAGAGATGCCGTATACAGCTCTGGTAACTGATTTTTATAATGTTTACTGAAGTAATAAATCAAGAGAGAAGTAGAGTCATCTGATTTATTTTTACAACCAGAGGAGTCACCCCCTGCTGGTCAGTAGAGATAATGCAAGTTTTAAGACACTTCACTATCGGCTTTACTCGGCAGAACCGGAGGTTGCCTGGCTGCCACATGGGCAGAACCACTTCCATCTACAGCAAAGTGAACTCTGGCCTGGACTTAATTAAAACTCTGCCGTTGACCACCAATCATAAATTACTTTCTGCAACCTGTGACACTTTTAGAATTAAAAGAATAAATTGGTTTCTTACCAATTTATAATTCATAAATGAAAGGGAATAAGAAGCACGGGGCAGCTGCTCCTCTAAGAGCTCTGCATCCTCCACGTGCTCTGAGCATGCTGCGCCTTGCTAAGCGTGGAGGCGCTGGTGTCTGCTGGGTGATTGATGCCTGTTGTCTGCTCTGCTTGTGTTTTACAGGTAGCTGCTATCATTACCATGTTGCCATGGCGCTCCTGCCCTGTCTGATCCCTGACCTGAGCAGCTGGTTTCCAGTAGGAGAGAGCTTACCTGCAACAACATCTCTACTCCATCATCCCTACCTCTGTTTACATGTGCATCAGGCCGAGACAGAGGCCTTTCTCAGCATACAGATTCATCAAGAGTGAGCCTCTCATGTAATCATCATAGTAGTTATTTTTCTTTCTTTTCTTTTTTTTTGTCTGTGACTCAAACGTTATCATCAAAGCTGAAGTCAAACATGCGAATTTAGGGATTACGTCAGAGGCACGAGCTGGGCTGTCTGCGGAGGGTTGCTGTTGTATATGAGCTATATATTTCAGCTTCTAACTGTCATCAGACAACCGGATGAAGGTGGAACAGGAGATTCAGGGTGAGACAAGGCCAACATGATCTCACAGAAATAAATAACCACGACCTCCTAACAGAGCATTAAGTGGTGGCGTCATGTGTCAAATGACGTGCTGCCACCACGGTAACAATTTACGCTTCGGCTTAAGCTACAAAACTAGTGTTAGGTTTGGGAAAAACATAAAGGTTGGGTTTATAATAAGTATGCAAGCTCAGTATAATATGTAAACACGTCTTGCATGTACAACATTATGCAACACAAACACCTCTTTGCTGAAAGTCCTATAATTTGTGTCCTCCACAACATGGCCTGATGAACATTTAATTGTTTACATGGTGGCAACATATTGGCAACATATTTTTAACATATTCCATGCCATATTTCTGTGAGATCATACTGGACATACTTGACCTTCACAGTCGTCTCTGATGTGCTGTGCGCTCTGATTATTTTATGTGTTTTTACTGAAACAGACTTCATATTTATCAGTTCGTAGTGTAATTTAATCAGTATTGTAGCATTTGTTGATATTGGTAAATATTGTTTGACCAAATACATCTTCCCAAATAAAAGTTCAACGGCAACAAAAAGTTCTGTCTGTTTGTGTTTTGCCAACACTAAATAAAATAGTAGAAATATCAATAATGAATCCTATTGCCGTGTTTCTTTGCATCCGACTAGGTTCGCTACGGTTTTCAAAGGGTTTTATCCCAAAAAGAACTTCCAGATTAAATGCAGCTGTTAAACCCTATTGCTATGTCAAAATGAGCACAGGTTCAGGTGAACCAAAACTGCACTGCACCATCAGTGGATAACTTAAAAACATAATCAAACCAGCATTTAAAATTAGGTTTTTTTTCGGCGTTGATTAATATTTAGAGATTGCCGCTGCCATTGCCGGTCAAAATCATTTTCACAGGATTTGGATTTGCAGACAGGTTCAGATTTTTAACCTGCTAAATATCCCTGGGTGTCTGCATGACACATAGCTAAACGCATGTTTGCCGCTGTTGGTGAGTGGAAGTTCAGAGCTAAAACTGTTTTAGCTAGACACAGGGGGAGGAGCTGAGACATCCGGACTGAGTGTGGAGCTGCTCCCAATCATTGAAAGGGCCAGTTGAGGTGGTTCGGCCAGCTGACCAGGATGTGTTTTAAGCAACTCCGTTTGGAGGTTTTCCATGTGTGACCACGGGCCGCAGCAAGGCCCGGATTTGGTTTACAATTTTTAGGGTACACTGGCCCTTTAATATTGGCTCAAACCAACCAAAAGCCCACAGATCCTCTATTGGTACATACAGTATGGCGGTAAATGATGGACTAAGACAGGATTCCCCCAAGATTACAAAATGTATTACATCAAATATTTTAAACAGGGTATTAATAAAAACACAAGGAATCCATTCAATCTAATATATCCAACACAGTAAAAGGTATATATCCAATATACTTCGTGCCACAAATTACAGTAGAAGAGGGGAGTGCGACAGGATGAACGGTTGTAGCCGCAGACAGAGGGGAAAGTAATACTGGGAGAGAGTACTCACACAAACACACACACACACACACTGCAAAGCAAAAGGGTAAAGAAACAATTCGTGGAGGGAGTGCAAAGAAAACTACCACCAAACACACGATTATGGGGTTGTGAAGCACAGGTGAAAAACTCATTCACCAAACCCTCCACCATCTGGGCGGCCACACTTCTCACTGGCCCTACAGCACTCGGACAGACAGACAGAAACCAGGTGTTCAGCCTACAATGTTAGCACCACATGGCAGCTACAAGAACCTGCTATTCATTTCTTGGGGGAAAGCAATGAGCGCCACGAGGGCAACAAAATGAACTAACACCAACAATAACCAACTAATAAACTAAAACAAACCCAAACAAAACAAAACAGCAATGGCAGTCAGCGTCTCTCCTGCCTGCTTACTGCACAGCCCTCATCTGGAAAGCTCCAGGAAGCGAGAGTCGCTATGGAGCCAGACCAAAGCATTGCACGTGACGGGCACAACCTGTCGCACCAGGGGTTAGAGAGGAAAGGCACAGCTCATCGGTACGGCTTATACAGGGAGCCAAACAAATTGGGAACAAGGACGTAGGAGGTACTAAGGCCTACCTAGCCCTACAATAGCCTAGGAGGGACATTGCATGACCAGCTACACATGCTATAAAAAGACAATCTCTTTGGTTTTGTTGCTATAACTAGTTTGAATCAATTATAATATTAAATTAAAGCTGCAAGCAGCATTGATCGGGCCCTTGCATCTTCACGCATGTCGAGGGTACTGTCAGGACTCTGGTTGATGTAGCCATTCAGTTCTGTGACCATCAGACACTGCATGCACGAGTTAGACGGTATTTCCTGTGGTACCAGTGGCGTAGCCAGTTCATTTTGCCAGGTCTTAAGACTCGATTGTTTTGAGTGTATCTCCGAATACAATCATAAATGCAAGCCTGTAAAGTTTTACAAAAAGACGATTGTTTGTGAATGCGATTTAGTGTAACATAACAGACTGTCAAAGTAAATGCAGGTCTCAAAAACGACGTCTCAAAATGGCAGCTGCACTACTTTCGATTGACACCTCACTTGACCCAATAGGAGCTTCCATGTCCTGTCCACAGCCTACAATAGCCAACAAGAGTCCGCGTTGAAGGAAAGTGCCTGCCCCTCTTCTTTCATGTGAAGACCGAGCTAAATGCAACCGATCGTTCTGATGACTGATGCTTCGTATAGCCAATGAAATTTCGAAAACACCGATATGCTGCTTCAGTGGGAAGATTTACAGCCACAACAAGGAAGTCACTGCGTAAAAGCGAGAGTCTGCTGCCTGTGTCCGTGCCTAAAATGTGGTTTTTGAGAGTTTTGGAGACTTTAGGAAAGTGAATAATGGCGAAATAACTTATACATTACTGTATTTCGACATAAATAAGCTTTAGTTTGAATTATGAATATATATGAATATGAATATATACATATATATATATATATTTTTATATGTATATACCCACATAAGGAGGTGTGTGTGCGTGCCTTCCCCCCTCTGGTTTTCATTGTGTGAACTGCTGACATGTGAGGCAGCGAGCTGTAAAAAAAGTAGAATGCAGAAAAGATGGAGTTTTATCTAGTTTTGTAAATTACTGTTATTTCTTTATTTTCACATAATAGGCAATCATCTGATGTACAGTGGGTACGGAAAGTATTCAGACCCCTTTAAATTTTTCACTCT